CCAGTTTTCTTCTTGTCTTTTCATAAATTTTGGAGGGACGTCCAGTTCTTGGAAATGTCACTGTTGTGCCAGATTTTATACACTTGATGATAACTGTCTTCACTGCGTTTCATGATATATCTAATGCCTTGGAAATTCTTTTGTACCCTTCTCCTGACTGATACCTTTTAACAATGAGATCCCTCTGATGCTTCGGAAGCTCTCTGCGGACCATGGCTTTTGCTGTAGGATGCGACTAAGAAAATGTCAGGGTAGACCTACTAGAACAGCTGAACTTTATTTGGGGTTACTCATAGGCACAATAAATGATAGCCAGTGTGTACTGACTCCTATTTAACATGATTTTGAATGTGATTGCAGCTACATCCCTAGTTATAGGAGGGTGTGCACACTTATGCAACCACATTATTTTAGTTTTTATGTTTACTCCCCCCCCCCCCCCCCCCCCCCCCCAAAAAAAAAAAAAAGATTTCAGTTTGTTTTTCAATGAAGCTATGAGCTTCAACAGAATGTCAGCCTCTAGCAATGGAGGCAGGAACAATGCTGGAGGTATTTACAGCACACACTAATTATGGTAGCATAATTATTAATGTGGTATGTACAGTATGTTGTTCTTTTGTTAACCACTTGATGCACAATCGTGTACATGTGTGACATTGTGTGCAAGCAGTTATACCAAAGGAGCTATCGGCCATAACCCTGGTATCATTTTTTTTTTCTCCGCCAGTGATGCCCTGCACCATAAGTCATCCCCCCCACACTGCTCTCCATTGCTTTTCTGGGCTCTTTTGTCCCACCAGAGAACCCAGCATCCGATCTAGCTGTTGCAGCCACTTACAATACAGGTGATTGGGAACCATAACATCCCCAATCATCTCCATTCCATAGTCTAGGACAGGGGTCTCCAAACGTTCTAAACAAAGGTCCAATTTACTGTCCTTCAGACTTTAGGGGGGATGAACTTTAATCATTTGGGGTAGAAATGTAGAAATTGTTCTGGCATTAGTGAAATTAAACCATGTATCTTTGATATTAGAAATATAGTGCCCCATTGCTGGTGCAAGTGGGGGGAATCATGCCCCATTGTTGGTATTAGTGTGAGAAATTGTGCCATGTTGTTAGTAGAGGAGTTATGCCCCCCTGTTGGAGTCGGTGAGAAGAAAATTGCCCCAAGGACCGAATAAAGGCAAGCAAAGGGCTGAACCCCGGGCCACAGTTTGGAAACCACTTGTCTAAGAGACCGGAAGAGATGAGCATTTTTTCACTTCCAGTTAGGATAAATGTAAACATAGCCATTTTTTTTTCTGTAAAGTGTGTGTGTGTGTGTGTGTGTGTGTGTGTGTGTGTGTGTGTGTGTTTTAGTCTCATGCTTGCAAGGGTAGAGGAGATCTTGCACGCAGAAGAGATCATAGAGGCACGCAGAAGCGACCGCATACCTAGGTCACGTATGCATATGTAAACGGTGTTTTCACTACACATTTGAGGTATCGCAGCAAATGTTATCGCAAGATCAATAATTCTAGCCCTAGACCTCCTTTTGTAACGGTAAACTGATAAACTGTAAAAAATTTTTTTAAAGCATTCCCTATGGAGATGTTTAAGTATCATAGTTTGTCATCTTTCTATGAATGTTCACAATTTTTAAGTGTGACATGTTGGGTATCTATTTACTCGGCTTAACAAAAAAGGACATAAATTTTATTTTTGGTGCAGTGTTGCATGACCGCACAATTGTCAGTTAAAATAACGCAGCGCCGTATCACATAAAATGGCCTGGTCAGGAAGGGGGGTAAATCCTCTGGAGGGCAAGTGGTTAACATTTTAGATTGATGGGGAGCACTGTAGTTGTTTAATAATGAACTACAAGTCCTGACAGCCTTAGTGGCTGTTGGCTTGTAGTTCTCAATCAACTACCATGGCGCTGTGGAGCCCCATGATAGTTCTTTGAATCTTCCTGTCAGTATATCTGCTAGCCTGTACATGCAAGCAGATATACTGACGGAACTGCAGGAGACCTGCATGGCACCAGCAATCTGCTGTTCACAGGTGCAGTGGTTTACAGGCTCCTGAAACAAAAAATAAATAAATGCACTTTTTTTTACCTGCAGAAAAATGGGCATTTTATTATTTTTGGTTAAAAGGTGAACTTCTCCTTTTTAAACATTTGCAAACCTTTTCTACTTTTTCTTAAGACTTTGTATTTATTAATTAAGATTATTCAGTTGCTGAAGAGCTACGGGGGCTCATTTTGCAGATATCTGGATTGGCTGATCCTCAGCTTAGCCTTGGAAGCTTTACCCAAACCCCACTGTGAGGGGGAAGCAGGGCTGGTCAGTAATGTTTCCTCTGAACATTGGATTCTGCATTAGGTTCCCTCCTAGAAAACTTTGGTGTAATGTGTAAGTTAGCAGAAGAGTTCATTATAGGTCCAGGGCTGTGGTGCATCCATCTGGTGAAACCCTGTTCTTGAGAACGTCTTAAGGAGTTTCTACCTGGTTTTCGGGTTTGGAACCACCTATCAGTGCCCTGGTTATCAGTGTAAATGTCCCCTATCACAAGAAAGCCGTTTATCGGCTTTCCTTTCCTTACAGTGTAACAGCGTTGTGTGATTGGACACAGATTCTCACATAGTAAAGAGCCAACGTCATTGGCTCTTTACCGTGACCGGTGATACGCTGCATCCAAGGGACACCGCTTTCCACCAATCGTTGCGCACCCCTGGGGGGCGTGCACAAGCAGCGTGTCTGGGAGGACGTCATATGACGCCCACCCGCCCCGACCAATAGCAGATTAAAGTGGTTGGTGGGTTGCCTTTCACTTTAATGTTGGGGTCCACTATCTTTCAGATGATAGTCCCCTCCTAGTGCTGCTACCTGACCTGTTCTTGAACACCAGATTCTTTTTGGTACTCTTCCATATTGTAGCAATTTCCATATTGCTGCCCCATTCTTTCATTGGCTGCTTTCGGCTATTTTTTTTTTTTTTCTTCGAAAACTCTTCTAATATCTTTTCTTACACATTCATTAGATCTTTCAGTGGCAGTTGCCCACTCCTCAATTGCTTTTGGATGTCCCACACATCTATACATTTCTATATCCATGTGTTCTCAATGGATAATAATGAAAACCTGGATTTTTTTATTTTTTTTTTTAGAAAAATCTCTTTATTACAGTCTATTAAGGAACACTGATGCCATCCCTCTGTGTCTTGGCCCTTTGTACTGCTATTTCACAAAACAGAGGCAGGATGGTCAGGGGCTGGTTTATAGTGAACCGTAAAAGTTTTTTTCTTTGCCAATTCTTGCTTCCTGATGGCAAATGCGTATAATTTCACATCTATGAATTTCTATATCCCTGTGTTGATTAACCACTTCCCGCCCGCCACATAGTCCAATGACGGGCGCAAGGTGGTTCTCTCGTTCTGGGAGGAAGTCCTATGACGTCCTTCCATTCTCGGCGCACATGCGCAGCTCAGGGCGCGCGCAGCCTGGCGATCGACGGTGCGCTGTGTCCCTCGGACACAGCGGATCACCGATCACGGAAAGAGCCGAAGATGTTGGCTCGGTCATGTGATCAGCTGTGCCCAATCACAGCTGATCACATGTAAACAGGGAAATGCCGGTTATCGGCATTTCTCTCCTCTCTGTCACGCTGACGGCTCATGAGAGGAGAGCCGGTAATCGGCTTTCCGCGGAGGGGACATGTACACTGATCATCAGGGCACTGATGATCAGTGTAGCCCCAGCAGCACCACCTGTCAGTGTCCATCAGTGCCAGCTCTCAGTGCTCATCAGTGCCTTGTGCCAGTGCCACATCAATGCCACATATCAGTACCTACCAGTGCACATCAATGCCACATATCAGTGCCCATTTGAGCTGCCTTTCAGTGTCACCCATCAGTGCCACCTATCAGTTCCGCCAGTCAGTGCACGTCAGTGCCGCCTATCAGTGCCATGTATCAGTGCTGCCTTTCAGTGCCCATCAGTAATGCCTGTCAATGCCCATCAGTGCCACCTACCAGTGCCACCTATCAGTGTCCATCAGTGCAGCCTATCAGTGCCCACCACTGCAGGCTCATTAGCGCATATCAGTGAAAGAGAAAAATCACTTGTTTACAAAATTTTATAACAAAAACTAAGAAAAAACTTTCAAAATTTTCAGTTGTTTTTGGTTTGTTTCAGAAAAAATAAAAAACCCAGAGGTGATTAAATACCACCAAAATAAAGCTCTATCTGTCACAAAAAAATGTCATATGGGTACAATGTTGTATGACCGCACAATTGTCATTCAAAGTGTGAGAGCGCTGAAAGCTGGAAATTGGCCTGGGCAGGAAGGGGGTATAAGTGCCCTGTAGGTGAGTGGTTAAAGGCCCCCATGCAAAAGATCTTATGGTAAACAGAAAATTCTTATTTTATGTGTTGTCTTTTGTGTTGTCACAGATCAGAGTTCTGTATGATCGTGCTAGAGAGAATCATATTTAGTTTTATTAGTGATTATGTACAAAGATGGCTTTTACAGCATCCTTTTTAGAAAAAAAAGGAGTCTTCTAGCATGGCAGCAAATCTGATTGGATACATAACATACGTTATTTTAATTAAACATTTCCTCAAAGAGATATGAGATCTGCTGTTGCTTACCACCTTCTGAAAATGCTGCTATGCTGATTCACTGGGTTCAGTACTTTTAAAGTCATTGACCTGCAAATGGCATACATACCAGGAGAAATGACAAAGCCAAAAGCCTTTATCAAAGTACTGGTTTACTGACTCAAAGTACTAAATCAAGAAGGGGGACCTGAAAGCTAGGGATCATCTGGCAAGTGCAGAATGAGAAGTCAGCAACTGCAACCTTCATGTTTCCTAAAGTGGTGGTGTTGGCTGGGCATTAAAAGAGCCTGTTTGCCACCTGCCTGTTAGGGTTATGGATACATTATGTGACAACAGATGGAAATGATTCTTGGCAGAGTTGTCCTTTTAAACATTTGTTACTTGTTTTTTCAAGGTTCTAATTAATAAGACTGGAATCCCCATAAGCCTCTGCGTTCTCTATCTCACCCTTGCTCTGCGCCTGGGAGTTTTTCTGGAGCCAGTCAATTTTCCTCATCATTTCATGCTAAGATGGTGCCAAGGTACTCTTGGGTAAGAAAATAATTTTATATAACTCTATAGGTAAAAAGCTTGGACTGGTTGGAACATTTCTGACCATTAATACATTTTATTCAAATCTACTGGGAAGGAAAGGCTGACTGCTGCAGTCAAGCCAATAAAACCAAGTAAAAAAAGAACTTTCATACCCCTAGCTTTCAGACATTCATTAATAAAATTGTCACATATTTATTCTGCATATGCTTTCTATATCAAATGCTTCAGAAGCAGCAGAGTTACAGATGAACATTACTAGACCACATTATATTCCATTTGCACCATGGTTAACCATAGCTTCTATATATTGTGGACTTGACAGGTTACTTCTTACATAATTTCTTACATATGAAATAAGAGCACCTTTTTTGTGTCTGGCACTGTAGAAAGCTCTGTAGTCAGAGCTCTGGATACCTCCCATTAATCACTTAATGTGGCTGCGACCAGAGAGAATTTTGTATCACATTTTCATGTTAAAGACATTAGCCTAAGCAAATTCCATCTATTGGGCAATTGTCGGGTTATAACTATGGGAGCTGCCATTGATGGCTTGATTTAAAAGCAGACGTTCCAGAGCTTTCATTTTGGGTTCACTACTTGGTAAGTTACACATCTGAAACAAGTATGTACGTCCAAAATCCCAATCCATTATTTCAGCGGCTGTCAGTGACTAACCCTAGTGATAAGTCATTTTAATCTCTTACTACTAAGAAGTTTAACCACTTTTTTGTCAGTGGTTAATGCTACACATATTTTAAATAGCTAATTTCTGTTACTAAAATTGTTAGAGATTAATAACAATTTGTAGTAAATGATCACAAACCAAAGTAACCCCTAAGGTGCTAGGGGTACTGCATCAAGATTGTTGTGTTTCTATTCCTTTAGAGGTTATTTGCTGCACTTTTTATTTTTTTCTAGCAATTTTAGTAGCAGAAGTGAGCTACAAAAATCTCCTGTGTATCTCCAGCCTATTCAGGTGACAGCAAACATGATGTTGAATTTTTAAGCTAGAGAAAAAAAAACTGTCCGTATGATCATTTCACAGTTGTTGTGTGTGGGTTTTTGTTTTTTTTTTTAAAAACAAGCAGGGCTTAAAAGCTCCTATATTTCTGTCCTGACATATAGGTGGGATTTTTTCTAGCACATATAGTGCCTTTTTGCAACCTTATCTCTTAATTGACCATAATTTAACTTACAATGATATTGTTAAAGCTTGTCACTTTTTTATATATTTTGTAATCATATAACCACACCGAAATATGGGTATTGTGTTTTTGTTTATGACTGTGACATACATATACCACAGTTCTATTATATACTGCAATTTGGATTTTGCAATGAATATAGCAGAATCATGCACTGTTGCATGTCACAAGGATTCTTGCACTTTACAACTGAACATTAGTTAAATGGACACAGGTAAATTAATTTACTAGAGCCCTGGGTTTTGGTATGACAGAGCACCATTGGCTTCCACTATTTTAAGTTAAACATTTGTGGATAACTTTTCCAAAACATATATTTTTTTAAATATTTCCTCTGCAGAAGTACATTTGTTACAGACTATGTTTTTGTGGATGCATTTGGAAATGGAAAATACCGGAGTGCAAAGGAATGTGAACACCTGATTGGTCAACCTGTAACAGAGGAGTTCTTCGCAGCTGTCTGCACTAAGGAGGTTCTACAACGTATGGTAGGGAACCTGCTCAACCTTGGCAAAAGGTAGGTTTCCCATATACCTTTTAGTATAGCATTGTATTTCCTGATTGTACTGTACAGGACACAGACTTTTTTTTTTTTAAATCATTAGTTATTTTGGGCCAGTATGTTAGAGTTTATTTGCTCAGTAACCACAATTTCCATCCCTGAAGTGGTGGCCTTTTGTCTATTGGGCTTGGACAATCATCTAGTCTTTTCTAGGGTCTCTAGAACACTTACCAGACCCCCTACTGTAGAGAGCTGGAAGAAACTGGTCAAGTTAGTGGTCCCATTGCATAAATTGACATATCTCTCCTGAAGTTGCCCCAAAAAATTCCATAAGGTCTGGGATATTTGGATCAAATCTCCCTCTACTACTAATGCTAGAGATGATACTGTGCTTGACTAAAGTGAATGGTGAGTGAGTTCTTTGTTCCTTGAGGGGGAGGGACTATGCGGGGGTTTACTTGGCGGTCCCTCCGTGTACCCCCTGTTCAGCTTTTAGCATCTCCCTGGGACCATACATTGCTCCCACTTTAATAATACTCACACTTTATTGTGTTATACTCGTGCCTAACGTCTACCTCCTGATTGCCTACCTTGCGCATGCAATTGCTGCTACCCACCCTTGTTGATCGAGGGGTACTGGAGTTGTTTTTTTATGTTATCTTTTTTTTCACACCGGGGAATGCCCAAACGCTCTGCTTTGTAGAATATTTTTCCAAAAACCAATAAAAACTATTTTGAGAAAAAAAATCATTACAGTTGGGTTATATGCAGCTGTCTTTAGGTAATTAGCCACTGGCAAAAATACTGCAGGGATATCCTCTCTATATCCCCTCCCACTCTCCTTAGGTGATGGATTTCTTCTATGATGATTCCTTCATCACTCTGTTGCACTATAGCCACTACACCTCTTTATTCAGCTTCCAGATCGGTGGATGTCTGGAGCCTTGGGGGATCGTACCCGATCCCTGCATGATGGAAGATGTGGAGTTGGCCTGTAATGTTGCTTTTCACTGGATCCTGCTGTGGGTGCAGTCTGCCTGGTACGGAGCCCAGCCTCTTACAACCCCTGCCCTCTGTGAAAAGGATTAAGCCAGGAAGGGATTAATGCCCCTCTATTCCTGCTAATGATGTGGTGAATACACAAGGCAGAAGTCCTGTAAACATTCAATCCCAGAATCCAATTGCCATGTAAATGGTTATTATCCAAGAGAAGGATGGGAGGTGTGAAAGTTGCTGTGCCATCCTGTCCTAGCTACTTAACGCCATTGTTGGTGTCAGGAAGCCTGCAGAGATGTTAGTTCCTTGATTTGCATGGCGAAAGATCTTAATTGTTGTCAAATCACCAGGGTAGAGATTTTAAAACGGCATTATATACGGAAGCAAAATCATAATTAAGGCCCCTGTTCAGGGAAGGTTGTTCCATTGTGCTGTAGATGGATTGCTTGTGAACTAGTTGTTCTCTCTTTCCAAAATATGCACTTTGCTGTCTTTTTGACAGAATATCTCTTTTGCTTAAGGTGTGAAAAGACTGCTTAGTCTTGGCCTGTATAATTTTCTCTTTTGTTGGGCCAGTTGTTTGTTTTGTTTCCCCAATGTATAGGTCTTTATATTGCTCACTACACTGCACTGCTTATACCAAGTTACTGTGCTTGTGTTTGGGTGTAGGATCTTTAGGATGTACAGTAAGTCCCCGTTCCATTCTGGGAGTTCGTTCGTAAGTCCAATTGTTTCTAAGTCCAACAAAGTAAGGTTTATAATACTTTTCACACAAAATAATGCATAAAAAACAAACACAAAAAATACTGTAACGAAAGGATGTTTAATCCTACATTACCTTTTTAAAAGGTACAGTAGTATAGTACGACATCTGACATACAAGGGCTGGCATGGAGTGACCAGACAAGACTGCTGCTTTTATGTTTGCTTCCAGACATCCTAGGCTTGAAATCAATACTGTACTACTGTACACTATTGACTTTACAGTAAAGTACACAGCAGAACAACCACTTGTGGCAGTGGGTGCATGCAGCTGACAATGTCCGGCAGACACGTGAGCTACTTTCATGATTTGGCATGTGAATGCATGTTCTCATCTTTGAAAGTTCGCAACTTGGAGGTTGTTTGTATCTTTTGAAAGTTTGTAACTCAATGTTCGTAAGTAGAGGACTTACTGTACAAGTTTCTGTCTCAGTGTATTGCTGGGCTTGAAGGACAGGGGGATGCTGTGTTTGCTTATAGATCCTTCTGAGTTTTTTAGTCACCCCTGCTGCAGACAGGATGACTATATTACTCAATATGTTCTGCTTCTCCTGTCTATTGAATGATCCAGAGTTTTTGCTTGGCCTTGTGGATGGTTTAATGAAGGCCACAAACCTTTAGGACAACCCTGAGATGTCTGTGTTCTTTATCTTTAGACCTTTTGTTGATGCCATCTCAACCTGATGTTGCAGAGTCCTAATAGTTTGTGTTCCAATGGGTGGAGGGAGTCAAAGAACAGATGCTGATTTTGTATGGGTAGTTTTTTTGTAAACCTCAGTGTCCAAGTCAATATGTATAACACACAATCAAAAAAGGTAATTTGTTCTGTGCTGTATAGACTTGATTAATGTGTCTACTGAGTTTATGTTTACTAAAAGCTTGTATTCTTGATATTCTAATCTTGTTCCATGTATCATCTACATACCTGAACATACTGTATCTGAAAGAATTTGAGGTTCTCTTCTCCATCTCCTCCCCGTACATGTTAACGACGATGAGAGACACAGGTTATTTTGTAGCATTTACACGTGTTTACACAAGTTCTTTACTGAACGTTTTACTGAGGATCTTTCTGCCAACAAGATCCTGAGTATAAACCTCAGTAAATTATTACATCCGTGTGAACTGGCTATTGAGAAAAAGTGACGTTCTTTCGAGAACAGAGAAGACAACTGGTTCTCAAATGACATAAAAGAGACCATTTACTGTTTGTCAAAATATAGCAACCTTCCCTTAGTCTTCATCTTTCTTCCACATATTATGCTGTTCTAACATCTGTACCCTGGCAATATGACAACAGTTCATACCTTTACCATGTAAATTGAGGAACTAACGCCTACTGTAATGCAGGCTTCCTGACACCAGTGATGTTCTTATTACTAGGGCAGGATGGCACCACAACTTTTGAATCTACCATCCTGTTCTTGGACAATCAACATTTCCACATTCTTTCCTCAGTTAAGCTGTCCTCAGTTAAGTTGTCCTCAGGTGTGAATATACTGCAAACACTGGGGTATCTGCCTGACACTCTAGGAAATAAAGTGGTTTGGTAAGCTGCTATAGATCTTCAACATCACAGAACAATTCCAGTTGAATGTGACTGACTAACTTGATACACTATGACCTGGATAAAATAAGAACTTTCACCAACATATAGGCTGCATAAAATGTGGTATTCTGTTGGTCTCATTTTATTATATGTAGATTATTACTTTACTATTCTCATGTTTACTATTCTTACGTGTGTCTTACAGGGAAAGTAAAGATCGTAGCTTTATGCTGCTGAGAGTGTCTTTGGATCTGTACCTAGCTATGTATCCAGACAGCGTACAACATCTATTACTACAAGCGCGACTGTATTTTCACCTTGGTATATGGCCTGAAAAGGTAAATAACGAAAGAAAATGCTAATATCAAGAAAAAAAGAAATAATGAATTTAGCAAACCGTACATGCAACTACAGTGTAAAATTGTTTTCTTGAAAGAGGATGCCATATGCTTTGTATTTCTATACAGTCCTCTTGCCTCCATTGGCAATTCATTGTCGGTATTTGGGAGGGAGAAGCTAACAACTCTGTGGCAGAAATACCTTCTCATCAGATTTTGAGCTAATAATTGTAACTCCAGCTAATGCTAATGTACAGTGTTCTAAATGTGACAGTCACATTGTATGCACCAGTGGACATTGGGTGCACTATACATGGCAAAAAAAAAATTTCATCACAGTACAAAGAGCTTGTGTATGTAGTATGCCTTGTCCTTCTTCCCCACTGTCCATTCCCCCTTGCACTTGGCAGCAATTCCCAACTGTCAGAATGATAGCTGTTCCTTTTGTACATCTTATTAACGCAGTGTGCCATGATCAGACCTATTTAATTTCTTCTTGTCCTTCTCCCTTCAACTATTTTTTACTACTGAATTTTTTTTTCATATTATTTTAAACAATATTTAAAATGGAATTTCACTCTCTCAATCAACATTGACTATTTTTAATCCATATGTTGCTAACATTAGTAAATAGATAGGAAAGTTTATCATATTTAATTATTTTAAACATATTTTTTGCATTTCTTCAGTTACTTCCTATTTTTCAGGCCTAGGCAAATGATGTCATACATCCCAGGAGGGGATATTCTAAGCTAAGTACACCCTCCTGTCTGAGCTAAGGGCAGATGGACACCAGGAAGTAAATACGACACGAATCATCTGCCCTTGCTCAAGATACCCACAAATAGAAATGTTAGAGAGTGTTTTCAAAAGTGATTTCTCGGCAAAATAAAGCATGGAGACATGGATGCATGAGGGTGTTTGCTTTAAACAATAAAAATGAATTAAATGGTTTTGATTTGTGGTGCTCTGATGCAGTGTAACTCCACTTTTTAAACTTTATTTTAGTTTTTAATCATATTGGGGGGGGGGGGGGGTTTCGTTTCTCATTACAAAAGTGAATGTGTTGTTTTTTTTCTTTTTCATATGTTAATACCTTTGCTCTAGAATTATTTTAGTTTTTTTTTTTGTTTTTTTTTATAGAACAAATTGTAGAATAAAATGTATACATTTTATGTACAGTAAATACTAAACGAACACTGATCAAAGTAGAAAAAGTGGATTGCATAAAAAAATGTAATCATTTTTTATTTTTACAAGACAACAAAAGAAAACCTTGTTTATGCTAAAGTGGAACTTTAGTCAAAAAATTGTCTTGCTAGATCAAGACTGGCTCCAGGTATAGCTGTGTAAAACATTAAAAATAAGTGTCTATACTGTTTAAAATCTAGTAATACACTGTCTCGCTCTGCTCTGCACATGCTCAGTTGCTCTCCATTTTAGGTACAGGCAAATTTGTACAGGACGATCTGAGAGCCTTGAAGTGAAATTAACCACTTGCCTACTGGGCATTTTTATCCCCTTCCTGCCCAGGCCAATTTTCACCTTTCAACACTGTTGCACTATAAATGACAATTGCGCAGTCATACAGCTCAAATGACATTTTTTTTTTCACACAAATAGAGATTTCCTTTGTTGGTATTTAATCACCATTTTTTTTATTTTTTGGACTATAAACGAAAAAAGACCGAACATTTAAAAAAAAAAAGTGCTTTCTTTGTTTCTGTTCTAACATTTTTCAAATAAATACTCTTTCTACACAAATTTAGGCCAAAATGTGTTCTGCTACATGTCTTTGGTGAAAAATAACCCAAATCAGTGTTTATTTTTTAGATGGTAGTTATAGCGTCCACAAGCTATGGTATATATCTAGAAATTGATAAATCCTGATGTACTGATGACTGATCTCATTTCTTGAGGCCCTAAAATGCCAGGACAGTACAAATACCCCCAAAATGACCGCTTTTCGAAAAAATAGAAAGTCTAAGGTATTTAGATGGCGAGTTTTTTGAAGTTGTAATTTTTTTGTCATTTTGTGGAAAATGAAAAAACATTTTTCACAATTTTTTTTTTTTTGTACATACGGTCACCAATGCAGTACAGCGTCATCATATAACTAATCTGAAAAACAGTGTTGCACTAGCTCATAAACGCAATAGTCATGTACATATAAACATATCAAATATATACAATAAAAGTCCTTATAACTGTGACAATTCAATCAATTTTCGTGCTTGATTAAATGTGTTTGTTTGATATAGAATGTGCTCCAAAAAAAACTTCAGTGCTCCACCGTAAAATCTGTGGACCTCCACCTATGAATAAGGATGGCTGCTCACCTCATAGCATGGACCTATAAAATAATGTAGGTAAACTAAGCAAAATAATTCCATCAAAAAGGCTCCAGATGGCAGCAAGGGACTCATACAGGCACCTCCATAGATGACAAATCTCTTCCCAGCTTAAACTCCACATGTAAGGAAGAAAAGGACAGATCTCATAGTGTAGTACTGTTTTAATCTCTTAAAAACAAGTAGGGAATAACACTCACATTGTTCAGATAAGTCACAAGCATAGAGAACTTCCGAACCGATCATATGACCGGGAATGAAGTCACCAAGCTCCACCCTAAGAAATGTCATTCCCGGTCACATGATTGGACCGAAAGTTCCCTCTGTAGTGTGTACTTTTTTCAGTTAAGAGTACTAAGTGTAATTTCTGTCTACTTCCTCATTTCTCTGCTCTCTGCATGTGCCGCTTCTGACACGTTTTCCTGACACCAAGAGAAAAATGGTGACAGAGGAGGGCTCTCCAGCAGATTGACTGACTGCTTTAGCTGTGTGTGTGGTGGTGGTGGTGGGGGGAGGGGGTGTCGATTCCCTCCAATCAGCTCTCGGAGCTCTCCTCCCTGAGTTTTGCATAGTGTAATTTTGGCTCTTCACTTATTTTTTTTCTTAAATCTCAGATCAGCTTTATAAATTTTGGACTTTAAATGTATGTAGAGAGGACAAGACTGCAGATAGAGAGACCAGTATAACTTATGTAGGAGGATTTGTTTAAGCTCTGTGTATCCTCTGGGGCCAGTCACTTCACTGGGTATATATAAGGGCTTACAACCACTTTAATAAAAGCAAAGTTATCCTCACAGATTCCCTGCTTGTTCGGTGCACATCAGGCCAGATGAGAACAGTCCATAGCAGCCTGCATGCCATAACCAGTGGTGGGGCTGAAATAATGGTATAGCGGCTCTCTGTTCTGTAGATAGACCTGCTTCAGAGGTTCTTCAAACCATGGACATCAAAGCAGTCTTTTAGGTTCAGACTGTATCAAACTTGAGGATCAAAATTGTGCTTAAAATAGTATGCAAATACTATAAAACAGGGAGTTTCACAATATTCTGTATAGAAATAAAAGTTTTATCATTCGTAGTAGTAGTAGTAGCAGTAGTAGGTTTGTTTTCACATGTATACTTTCTATGTGTATTGCGGCTCAGAACATTGCAATGGATAAAAGGAGCAAAGTAGCATATATATTTTGAAGTGATGGTAACAATATTCTATACAGTAGAAGCTTCCGTTAAAGTGGTAGTAAAGTCTTGTGTGGCATTTTTACCTACAGGTAAACTTATAATAAAGCTTACCTGCAGGAAAAAAGAATATCTCCTAAACATGCCCCATTTAGGAGATATTCCAGCGAACAGCAGCCGGTGATGTCAAACTTCTTCAAAAAAAAAAAAGTAAAGCGGTTTCCCCCTGTAAGGTAAAATCATAATGTGCTAATATGCATCGCATACTAGTGCATTATGAAATCCTTCCCTAAAATGAAGCCCTCCAGCCCCATGCTGTCACCACTGACAGGGCTCCTGTCTTCACCTGATCTCAGTTCGCGAGCTCCGGCCGCCTGACTGGCCCAGCACAGAGCTCTGAACGAACTGCACGAGTATGCTGTTCCTTCAGAGCTGGGTTCTGTGCTTATCATTGCAGCTTGGCCAGTCAGGCGGCCAGAGCCTGCGAACTTAGATGGAAGACCAGGTGGAGACAGAAGCCCTGTGACAAAGTGCCGCGGGGGGGGGCAGGGGCATAGTTTAAAGGTAAGTATTTCATAATGTGATGCATACTAGCAAATTATGATTTTACCTTACAGGGGGAAACCTCTTTTTCTTTTTTTTTTAGAAACCTTTTGCTACCTCTTTAAAATGAACAAGGATTATTTTTCATAGCAAAAAAAAAAAAGTTAACACAATATTCTAATTCTAAATATTAATAGAAACTATGTTTTAAAATAAATAGTGGTAACATTTGTCCCTTATTCTGTAGTATTATGCAGTGACTTTAGGGAGTTGTAAAAACAGTTGTATAGGAAAAAGAAAGTGTTGGGACATGCTTGGAAGGGACTGCCAGATAACTATAGAACCAAGCTGACTTCCAGAGGGAAGTTTTTTTTTTTTTTTTTTTTAAGAAATAGATTCCATGCAAACACTTTTAGATTTTTGGATTTTGTTATGTGTTCTGGCAAGGTACACTTGAATCTAGGCTTGAGCTCTCGATTAGTCTTCTAGGAGCATACAAGTTTCTTAGTATGGCCAACTTATTGTAGGTAGCATGGGCAGCTTAATCAATAAACCACATACTCGCGAGAACAGTATAGGAATTATTGAATTTAATATTCTTTTCCATGAGAGTCAGTGAAAGATGTTTTGTAAATTTACTGTTGTAATGCAGATAGGAGTTGCCTCCATGTGCTTAAAGTGACCGGTAGAAATTTTGGTAATATTTTAAGGAATACAAGATCACGGAAAACCAAGGACTTGAACTGATTGATGGGGTCTGGGGACTAAAGGGTCTATGTAGCAGAATTTGGTATGATCCTTCTGGTTTTCCCTTTTGTATAGTGCTATATGATACACTTTGTTGGTCTCTCTCTGTCTTTTCCATGTTCCCTCAGTCTCTAGTCTTCATAGCAGACAGTAGGCTGATTTAGGAATATTGTCTTTTTACACTTCAAGAAACTGTAAAAACACATCTATGTCTTATTGGAGAGTTTGGCAGTCTCTGAAGGGTGCTGAATCTGCAGGTGACCATACTCTTTGGACAGATTGAGTCCTATGGTGGCATGTCAAAGCATAAAGCAGCCTTTGAAGCAGGACAGTTACTATTTATCACTATGTAGAAGCTGTCAATAAAAGGCATGTACAGTCCCTTGAAAACGTTATTCATACCCCTTGAAATTTAAAAAAAAAAATGTTCATGTTACAACCAAAAACGTAAATGTGTTTTATTGGGATTTTATGTAATAGACCAACACAAAGGGGCACATTATTTTGAAGTGGAAGGAAAATGATAAATGGTTTTCCAAACTCTTTACAAATATCTGAAAAGTGTGATGTGCATTTGTATTCAGCCCCCCTGAGTCAATACTTTTGTAGAACCACCTTTCGCTGCAATTACAGCTGCAAGTCTTTTTGGTATATCTCTACCAGCTTTGCACATCTAGGGAGAGACATTTATGCCCATTCTTTGCAAAATAGCTCAAGCTCTGTCAGATTAGATGGAGAGTGTCTGTGAACAGCAATTTTGCAAGTCTTGTCACAGATTCTCAATTGAATTTAGGTCTGGACTTTGACTGGGCCATTCTAACACATGAATATTCTTTGATCTAAACTATTCCATTGTAGCTCTGACTGTATGTTTAGGGTCGATGTCCTGCTGGAAGGTGAACTTCCACCCCATTCTCAAGTCTTTTGCAGACTCTTAACAGATTTTCTCCTAAGATTGCCCTGTATTTGGCTCCATCCATCTTCCCATCAACTCTGACCAGCTTCCCTGTTCCTGCAGAAGAAAAGCATCTCCACAACACTGTGCTGCCACCATCATGTTTCATGGTGGGGACAGTGTGTTCAGGGTGATGTGCAGTGTTAGTTTTCTGCCACACACAGCGTTTTGCTTTTAGGCCAAAACGTTCAGTTTTGTTCTCAGCTGACCCCAGAGCACCTTCTTCCACGTGTCCCCCCAGATGGCTTCTAGCAAACTGCAAACGGGACTTCTTATATGTTTCTTTCAACAATGGCTTTCTTCTTGCCACTCTTTCATAAAGGCCAGATTTGTGGAGTGCACGACTAATAGTTGTCCTGTGGACAGATTCTCCCTCCTGAGCTGTGGATCTCTACAGCTTCTCCAGAGTTACCATGGGCCTCTTGGCTGCTTCTCTGATTAATGCTCTCCTTGCCCAGCCTGTCAGTTTAGGTGGATGGCCATGTCTTGGTAGGTTTGCAGTTGTGCCATACTCTTTCCATTTTCGGATGATGAATTGAACAGTGCTCCGTGAGATGTTCAAAGCTTGGGATATTTTTTGATATTCTAACCCTTCTTTAAACTTCTCCACATCTTTATCCCTGACCTGTCTGGTGTGTTCCTTGGCCTTAATGATGCTGTTTGTTCACTAATGTTCTCTAGCAAACCTCTGAGGACTTCACAGAACTGCTGTATTTAAACTGAGATTAAATTACACACAAGTGGACTCTGTTTACTAACTAGGTGACTTCTAAAAGCAATTGGTTCCACTATATTTTAGTTAGGGGTATCAGAGTAAAGAGGGCTGAATACAAATGCATGCCACACTTTTCAGATATTTATTTGTAAAAAATCTTGAAAATTTCAAGGGGTATGAATCATTTTTAAGGCACTGTAATATGTGTGATATAAATATATAATTAAACATATATGCCAATGTGCATGAAACCTGAGATGAATGTGAAATCAATGTGTGGACAAGATTCTGGTTAATTGTGGGATTTATATATTTGTATTTGGTAGGTCTTGGATATCCTGCAGAATATTCAGGCTTTGGACCCATCACAGCATGGTGCTGTGGCATATCTAGTTCAGCATACTTTGGAGCATATAGAAAGAAGGAAGGATGACAGCGTACTTCAAGCAAAACTGAGATCCGATGAAAAGGAAGTGTGTTATTCTGTAGGACTTATTATGAGACATAAAAGGTATGTATATTTTATAGTTAATATTCATGCAAATAATTGAAGCTTTTGATAGTGTAATCACAGTTCAATTTCTGGCAGTTGGTCATGAGAGCCAATTGGGAGGTCCCTGTAGAGTAGACAGCAGTAGGTCTTGCTTATAGAACTTTTATATATCAAATTGTCAGGGGAATTCAGAAACCCTGGGGTACACTGTCACCTTCAGGAGGATTAGACACTGGCAAACTAAAATCGTGAACCAACCCAGTATAACCCCCTCCTACTCCCACCATGCCTCAGTTTTTTGCTTATGCTCTTTTATTTTTTTTATTTAGTTCTTCAGTCAATATTCTTGCTACGTCACTGCTGAGCTGGTCTCTCCACACAGCTATTCAGACCACTGTTTTCTATCCATAACTCTGGCGTGCCATACCTGGACCCCGTTGGACTAAATGTTGCTGAGTTAGCCTGGAACGTGGCCTACAGGCACTGAGTTCTGCATGTGCCATGAAAGTTAGTCACCCACACGAGGAACTCTGTCTCTGAAGACTCACTTTGTGAGTAGGACATACAATCCGAGTGCCAGATGCCTCCTATATATTAGGACAATGGGGTGCTGTTTTAAATATTCCTGCTTCCACCAGTTCCGTTGTGGAACTGATTAACATTGAGGGATGGAGTGCTGAGGTCATCTGCTAGGTGCAGGGCCATGCCTGTCATTCGGTGTTCAGGAAGCTTTTCTCCACTGCTGTTCTTGTCTACATTTTACATGTGGAACTTTCATGTTGCCCATATGAAGTGAGTAGGCCATCTTTGGCCTTCTGCACCTCAGTGTGTTACTGCCCATCTCCATTGAGAGATTTCATCTGGATGACCTCCTGTTGAGAGAACAGTCGGTGCAGGTTTTGACATGTAATGTAGCCTGAGTCATCCAGACATTGCAGAGCTACAACTGGGTCCTGAAACTTCAGAATTGCGTGCTGGAAAAGATTCATAACTTGGAACAACCTTATCTTAGACACAGCTCAAGGCAGCAGATACTTCAAACTTTCCACCCCCAGTATTTGAGTCTTCAGTCCAGGAGTCTCCTGACTCTTTGCTTTTGCATGAGAGTCCTGAGGCTGATGATGGCCTCCTTCGAGGCAATCTTATTTGCCCATGTCTACAACATTCTGTCATTGTTGAACATGTCAGTTTCATCCTCCTGGACAGATGTATTTTTCTGGTACAAAGACCAGGTGGTTGTCTCTAGCTTGGTGACTCAGGAATCCAGCTCTAGATTTGGAGATTCTCACAATAAATTTTAGCCTGTCAAGCTGGGGATTGCTCCTGGGCACTTTGGTGGAGGAGACTTTGGTATCAGAGGAATCTTGTCTCCTGTTCAACATTCTGGAACTTTAGGTGACCTGGCTGTCCTTGCAGCTCTGGATATCTTAACGGAAGGGTCATCTGATCCAAATTCAGTGAGACAGTGCCACAGTAGTGCCGTACATCAACAATCCTTGAGGAACCAGAAGTCTTGTAATGGCAAGAGATGTAGATCGGATCTTGACCTGGGTAGATTTTTTAAGTTCCAGCCTTGTCCACCATATACATCCCTAGTCATTAGTTGGCAGGCAGATTTCCTCAGATGGCAACACCTGGACCTCAGAAAATGGTTTCTTCTCCCAGAGGTGTTCCAGGACCTGTGTTACAGGTGGGGATGCCGAATGTGGACCTTCTCTCCCCAGTCGCTGGTTTATACACCTCTTCTCTCCCCTTTTACAAGGTGTTCTGTGAATGAACAAGGGTAAAGGTGGGGGTGTATAAATCACACTATCACTTCCTTGTAGATAGTCACAGTGCTATAAATTCAGCACTGACTATACTTTTCAGCATGAATAAAAGTACAATTTTTACAGTACACAGTAGTGATCCGGACATGAGCTAAACGACATTTGAAGGTAACTTTTTTTTTTTTAATTTAATATACTACAATTTACATAACATATCTGCCTGGGCTTCTGCGTTAAGACCTTTGTACAGGGTGTTTCCTATGTGCGTCTCCCTGTGCGCTCTCCCATGACTCTGGGATTGGAATTTGGTTTTCTTGGCACTCCAAAAGTAAATTAAGCCAATCTGGGGAATTCCTCTTTTCACTTTTTAAGAAGGTGTTACAAATGGTCTTATCTTGTAAAGAGCCCTTTTTGATATAACACAGGAAAAAAAGTGGTTTTGAGGCACAGAACACCCTTTTTTTTTCTAAGGTAGTTTTTTGCCTTTCACCTCTACTAGGACATCATTCCTCTATCCCTCTGTCTGGCTCCAGTTCATCAGAAGGAGATCTTCTATTCCTGGATGTAGTTTTGGACTTTGCATGTTTACCGCACAGCTACTGTGTCCACTGGAAAGACTTTGTCATTCCACATAAAAAGGAACCTGCTTCTCTTTTCACTATCCGTGAGTGTTTCTTGGAATTTCAGCATCAAACAATTGTTTCCCAGATTTGCAAGACCTAGTCTTCTGTTCACACAGTCTCAAAGTTTTCCCAGGTAGATGTTCAAGCCCTCTCTAAATTCTGTTTTGGGTGTAAGTCCTTCAGATGATCCTTTAAGCTGCATACAGTCCCTAGTTCTGTTATTTTTTGTGAGCCTGTTAGGCTACATTCACACATACAAGTAGATGTGAATTGTAGCAGCAGTTCTCTCTGCAGCTCTCAGCAGGTAGGTACGGGGGGGGGGGGGGGGAACGTTAGTTCCGTTCACTATAATGACAGGCTGCCAGTGACCACACCTATTCATGGATCTCCTCACAGCCAGCGATTACCTGCAGTGATCACTGCTGGACTCACTTTGTCTACATCCAGCATCGATCACCGCAGGTAATCGTTGGCTGTGCAGAGAGCCATGAATAGGTGCTGCTGACGGTGACCTGTCAATATAGTGAACAGGCAGCCGAGCTATCAGCTGAGAGCTGCAGGGAGAACTGCCACTACAATTCCCACCGGCTCTAATCACCGGTGTGAATGTAGTCTGTAGTGTTTTGTTGCTGTTGCCCACTCCTCAGTTGGACTGCTTTTTTGGACATAATATACTTTGATGGCATGTTACATTACTATGTTTCAAATGAATAAGTGAGTGGGGCATTACAGACTTGCCTTTTTTATTATGGTGTTTCTACTTTTTATTCTATTTTAACACCCCTATTGGGGTAACAGATTTGGTATGTTAAATAAGTTCACCTTTTAAACATGTTTCATTTTATTTTCAAGTACACACCTCTCTTCACTCTTCTAAATTGTCAGCCCTTTTATACATTTTACAGATATGATTATAGTTGTGTGATCTTCAGCTGGGATCCTTTGTGTATGATGCCACCGGACTGGATGGAAAACCTGGATCTCTATAACCTCTCAAAAGGAATAACTCAGCCATTTTATAGTGTGCTTCTTGACGATGGTACTTGTAATTATGTCGCTCAAGGTGGGTGAACAGAAAATTGCTTTAGTCGCAACAAATGTCTAAAAAAGGAAACATGAAAAAGTCCTTTTTTTTTTTTTTGTCTAGACAATACCTAATACATCATCTTTTAGTGTCTCGTGGAGAGCCTACTAAAGGTTACCTCTAAAGTGGAACTAGACATACTTCTAACCTTAATCGACAGCCCCAAACCTCACTTCTCCCATGCTCTAAATCATTCTTTCAGCTGTAGGCATGCCAGGTGCTGAACCCTGGAGCCCATCTCCTTCTCTGTGTAAACGTTTAATATCAAACAATAGGCCGCACACCAATAACATCACTTCCCATCTGGGCTTAGTCGTAGAGATACTTTAGTAGTTACTTGTACCTCTGCTCCAGGGATGCAACGTCTGCTAGATCTCTCTGGCACTGAAAAGCCAGAAAAAGGGAATTGAGTGATCCTGAAGACTTGTAGTTTGGGGGTAAGAAAGCTTGCATTAATAGGTCCTGGAAGGTTGCATTGAGATAGGCCTGAAAGCCTGACCATTGAGAAATTGGTGCAGCAAATGCATAACAATTCATTTTTTTGTTAAAAGCAACAAACATTCAATCATTTGTCCTAACTTATTCAAATACTACAAACAAGCTAGAATTGCTCAACTTATCTCTACTACTGCTATTGTTACTTTTTAACAAATCTTTCTAGCATTACAATTATAACTTGGGGGTTTATTTACTAAAGCTGAAGAGTGCAAAATCAGGTTCACTTCTGCATAGAAACCAATCCACTTCTAGGTTTTATTGCCAGAGCTTAATAGAATGAGCTGAGGTTGGAAGCTGATTGGTTTCTGTGCTGAAGCGAGCCTGAATTTTGCACTCTCCATCATTAGTAAGTAAACCCCTTTGTGTATTTAACCCCCAGTGTGTGCTTGTGTACTTGTGTGCGCGCTCCAAAAGGCTGTGTACTAGGTCATGTTCTATTTAATCTATAGGTAAGTGACATAAATGAATGTTTAGGTGTAAGGTATATGGTTTTTGCTGATGGCACAAAGCTGTGCAATATTCTTGGATTCTTGGAGGTGTTTTAACAAGAAATGTGACTTGGCAGTGCTGGAGGATTAAATACAAATATCTAGGCTCAGCCACATAAAAACCATTACCCTAAGGCTGCTTTCACACTGATCCATTTTTCTTTCTCTTTTGCGTTAAAAAAGCAGCAAGAAAAACACGTGACCATATATTCCCATGGAACTCTTCACAGTGATCTTTTGCGGGTCCAGTGTTTTTTTTTTTTTTTTGTTTGTTTTTTTTTTTTTAAATCTCTCCTGCTGCATTTTTGATGCAGGTTTGGTGTGGTAAAAAATTGCACTTCCCCAATTAAATTAATGGAAAACATGGCAAATAAACATCCACTTTGCTGTTTTAGTGTGGTTTTTGAGTCCTGTAGAAAACGCACCGCAAACACAGTAAAACTTGGCAGAGACTCATATGCATTTTTGACACATTTTTGCTGCAGATCAGTGTAGAAAGCCTAACAGATGTGATTCTCACAACCTACAGTGTAAATCAGCCTTTCTCAACCAGGGTGCCTTGCAGTTTCTTCAGGGGTGCCTTGGCAAAATGTCTAAAAATGCCTTTTTAGTTACACAAAGCCACAGGTTTTCATTGTGCACCATTATGACTTTCTAGCCGTTGCGTCCTGAAAACCATTGATATCAGTCGATGAGGAGAATGTCAGCTGCCTGCACAGCATCCTAGTTTGACCCTCCCCCACCCCTCTCCATCAGTATGGGGTCACATTAGCTCAGTGATGGAGAAAAACTGAGGGAGAAGAGAAACACTGGAATACTAGTCAGTACCAGTACCAAGAATAAATTACCTCTAATGTTAGGTGTCCAACATGTGTGAATGTTGCTGCGTTTATATAAAACTATTGGAATAGTTTTTTTCACGTTTTTAGAATGGGGTGCCTCAAGACTGTCCAAACTTTTAAAGGATGCCTTGGGACTGTCCATAATTTGAAATGGTGCATTCACTGAAAAAAGGTTGAGAAACACTGATGTAAATAAATACCATAGTTGTGCAACGCTCCCAAAACTATACAGTCCCCTGCTTGTGAAGAAAATGTTCACTTCAGATACATAGTGTGAATCCTCACCAACAATATACATTTCCTAATGCACAAACATAATAAATAATTGATTCATAAATTAAAATATGCAAAAAACAATTGCCTTGTGATTGTGGCAACATACACCTATGAATGTATGAAAAAAGTCCAGAGTTTCTTTAAACTACACACTCCCTAAGGTGATCTTCAACACTTGCCTTCTATAATACACACTCTTTATCTGTGACTCTTCCCTTCAAAGTGCCCTGTAGATGTACCCTTACCTCTTAAATTACAGGAGGTCAGATAGACTTGTTAGTCATTAAGGGTCAATCTGCTATACAGTTCTAAACCCAGCACTCTAATTTAAGCCCCTAAAAGAAAATCAAAACAAAATGCTTTCCGTACATTTTAATAAAAACTTCACAAAAGATTAAAAATGTTTTTCTTCATCTGACACCTGTAAGCTGCGGGCGTGCATACAACTCCCCTGCCGTCACTGGGATGCTTCTGCCTAATATGATGACATCGCAGGAAAAACTCTGCTTCCGTGTTGTGGCCACATAAGACTTTGTTAGAGGATGCAAGGAACAAAATGGTGAAAGGGTTGATAAATAAAACATATCAGGAAAGACTTCAGGAATTGATTATATCCCAGTCTTGAGTAAATATGGGAAGGATTCAGGAGAGCAGTATTTTCAATATGCAGGTGGATCAAGACCATGGGGAAATGACCAAGTTCAAAACTAACCTTTTAGATAAATTGTTTTGTTTTCTTTGTTTTTTAACAAAAGAGCAGTTGATGCTTACTACAAACTTTCAACAAGGAAAGTGATTTAGTCAGCGGTAAGTGCATTTAACTACTTCCTGCCTGTAGACTGTCATATGATGTCCTCGACTTGAAGCTACAGCCATCATCCTGGTATCTTTTTTTTTTTTTTTTTTTTTCTGTAAATAAAAGCAGTCCTAGTGGCTAATTAGCCACTGAATTGCTTTTAGGCTTCATGCGCACTAGCCTTTGTTTTAGTTTCTTTTTATGACAAAAAAACACTGGATAAATAAACGTTGGTAATAGCGTTTTTTTGTAGCATTTTATTAGTGTTCAGAAGCATTTAGGAGCATCAGCGTTTTTACAGTACATGTTGAGGAAAAAAAAAGTTAGAAAAAAGGTGTTCGGAGTGTTTAGCATTTTTTTCTGCTGGAAAAAATGCTCCAAAAATGGTAGTAGCCTAAAGTAGTGTGCATGGACACATAGGATAACTCTACTTGGCTTCTAAGAGCAGAAAGAAATGCTATTGACAGCTTCTAGGAGCTGAAAAAAATGCTAGTGTACATGGAGCCTTACAAGTGGCCGCAGGGGTGTTACCCCCCCCCATCCCCCGTTCGCCACTCTGCAGTGCTTTCCCAGGCGAGCCCAAGACTAAATCCAGCTCCCGGCGAGCCCAAGACTAAATCTGGCACTGGCACTGACACCGGCTTACCATAGAGTTGAATGAAAACTTGGCATCCCCGATCATCTCTATGGTATTAGAAGCCGGAAGTGACAAGTATTTTGTCACTTCCGGTTTCTCCAGATGTTGACAAAGACATTTTTGGCTTTTCGAAAGCATCTGCTTACACCGATCTAATAGTCCCCAGATATCTCAGTAAAGAGTACCTGTCACTGCCTATTGTTATCACAAGAGATGTTTACATGAGTATTGGATAGTGTATATAGAGGTGTTGTTTTTTTTTTGTTTTTGTTTTTTTGTGTTTTTTTTTTTATCCTCCGTCGGGTGAACTGGATGAACTTCTGTCTTTTTTTCCACCAGATTAACTATGTAACTATGGAAAATCCACCATTTTATTCTTTAGGCCCCTTGCTGAATATATATATATTTATTGTTTGGTGGTTTTAAGTAATTTTTCGTAGCACAAAATGATGATTTAAGAGAGCAATGTCGGAATTGTCCCAGTAGGGAAGTAATTAAACATGCTTGAAACAAAGATAGGTCTATAGTCAGGGGCACACTCCTTGAACCACTTGGTCTTTTCCAGCTTTCACTTTTCTATGTTTCAGTATATACTACATTAAAAAAAAAAAAAAGGTTTTAGTGTTACATATACTTTAAATGTAGTAATACATTGGTAATGATTTTTTTTTTTTTTGCATTTGTTGCAGAGGACCTTGAACCACATCCATCTCCAACAGAAATATCTCATCCGGATATAGATCTTTACTTCTCAGAGTTTGCAGGAAATCACTACATTGCAAAAAAAGAGCTGCAGCTTCAGTATCCAGAAGATGCCGAGTGGATTGTCAGGCAGAGTGTGGAGGAACAGCCCAAATCTTCACCCCAGGAACCATGATTTCTGTCTCTAAAAGATTTTTTTATTAGACCTCTTACTACAATAGATATTACACAGTCCTGCCTGATAAGGTTTTCCAGGCATTACAAAGATTTGTACCAGCACAGAACAGTGCTGTGCGTTACAGTGAAATTTATTTAAAATCGCATAATAAGACGAGGTTACTTTTCTAGGAATGGTGCTCCCTGTATAGGAACACAAGAACCACTTGGTTTATTAGTCTAATAGCCTTTGAACATGCCCTTACTTAGCATGCTAAATAGTTATGTAATATAAGATAAAGTAGTTTAAGGATACAGTACTCATTTATGAAACACAACTTCTGAACATAATTCTGTATGTTTCACAAAAAATCTACTGAAATTTTCAGTGTTATTTAATTACCTCTTTATGTCCGCAGTGTGCAAACAGCAATTGTTTATTGCACCTTGCTTTTATTAGGTATTTTGAATACATGCATTTTAACAGACTCACCAGTAAGCCATGTTACTATGAGATAACTGCTCTATATTGCACTGATCTATAGTACAATTTTCAGCCTAGTTGATGATTATTAGTAACTAGGAGAGTTTATATTATTTTTATCTAGCGTCTTCTTTCAAGAACCAATAAATCTAAGACAAAAGCTAACACATCCATTACTAGGATTAGAGAAATTTGTGTAAAAGCTTCAGTAGCTTACCAAACACATGTGGTTTTTAATCTAAGGGTGGGAGCAGTAGCTTGCATCACTTGATGTCTGAGTAAGGCGATTGAACTCTTTGCAGTTGGCCGCCATTCCCCCTGAGTTGGCGAATAAAAAGAGTAAGACTGCACAGAAAGTGTTTGTAAAATTTGGATGAATTTCAATCGTAGTTGTTGGAGATTTGACTGGATAATTTTATACTGTGTGTTCTGGTGGCCATACACTGGATATAGTTGTTTTGCTGGAAATGAATGTTTTTAAGATAGTTGTGTAACAGTCCCATGTATAAAATATAAAAGATTAGAAAGATCATAAAAGATCAGCGGACCCCAAGAGATTAGCAAGTTAGGGGAGCTGTCATTTTTTCTAGTATTTGTTTTTTTTTTTGGCTGATAAAACTCCAACACCCCAATGCTGCACATTTCTGCCTCAATGACACTATTAAGGAATTTCCTCAACAGACACTAAACAGTGGATGTATGGTAAAGGTAGGATGGTTTAGGTATGACCAGACCTCCACATGTGGATCCAGCTTTAGGAAATGTGTGTCTCATTCCTACTGGCATCAATATTATTTATTTTACGTTTGTTTTTTTTTTCATACATGTTGCCTCTGTCACCGCTCCACCTGTCAACCTCCTCCAATTAGAGAACACCTTGTATTCATAAAAAAAGTGTATTGAGAATGGCAATGGGAGATTGGAAGATTGTGACAGTCACTGTCATAGCGACTACAACAGTGATTGTCACTTTTCCCAGCAGTCCATCAGGTGAGAGATATGCATGTTTACATTGGTCCAAACTTGATCAATGTAACTATGCAGTAAGAATCATAGCTAGACTTCAGCTAAAATTACCAAAGCACATATTTTTTTTTAATTGGAGACCAAAAATAAGGAAACACAAAAGGAGAACTATGGACTGTTTTGTCATACCTTATCTTTGTTGCTCTCCCTCTCATTGTGGATCATTTGCTAATTGCTATCAGTTGACAGTTCTTCCTTCATCCTTCCTTTCTCAGAGTAGTAACCATACAGAAGTGTTGAGTCATGTCTGATGCAACCAGTGAAACCGCTCCTCTTGTCTTGCATACATAAACCAAAGAACCTAGCAGCGAAATTAAAAAAAAAAAAAGTGCAGTCATTAACTAGCTGATGTATGTGAGTGCTGGTGGTGGCAATACATAAATTATTAGGTAGGGGGGGACATTCAATAATCTCTATATGTGGTGTGTGTGGGACAATGGATTTATAAAGTCCCTATAAGCTAGGAACAAAATTGAAATTAAATAAGTTTAAATTGCTAACTATGCATATGGTATATACAGATTTTTTTTTTTTTATTATAAAATAAAACTTAGAAAGTCTGCACATTTAGTACGGGTTAACAGCACTTTTTACAGTGGCCGTACACTTACAATCGTATGCAGTAGGGCAAGTCCATCTTTCATTTATGCAGTTTAATTTTTGTATCCTATGAAAGATTACACTCCATCCTCAAAGAAGGTTAGTGGGAAAAAGACTTGAAATCAGAAGGTCTACATGCTTACAGTGGCTGAGCATTGAGATCTTTGGATCTTTTAATTTGGTACAAACATCCACTGTTCAGTGCTTGTCAGGTGAGCTCCTGTATTCAATGGTAATACCATAATAATAGAGAAGGTTGTTGTGCAATTGTGCCAAGGTTTTTTTTTTTTTTCTTTAATCTTGCAACAATGTTCCAGACGTGGCAGATTTAAAGCTTGGACCATATATACAATTTAATCGCACAAAATCATGGGAACAGATATCTACTTTTTTATTTTAGAATTAACAATTTGAGTTTTTATTGCTTTTACAGAAAGTTGTAGACTTATGGTGGCCATACACGCTTCATTTTATTAAATTGATGTGCAATTCACTAAAAAAAATCAAATGGGCATCATTTCCCTTCCAATTTGAATTTAGACTAAATTTGAGATTGAATTTGATCAAACTAAATCAATCTGCCCGGGCAGAAAATTATTTACCATGATCCATCAGTCGCTGGTGCTTAGATGCTTCATGCATTTGTTCATATTTGAATCAATTGGATTATGAGGTTGCAAGAGGAAAACATATGCAAACAATAACTTTTGATCACAGCCTTCCAATTATCAATTGAAACGTACGTCCGCTAGTCAGTTATAATAAGCGAATGGATTCTCGACTATAGATCAATTATTATTGCAAGAGGTTGATCGGAAAAAGAAATTGATTATTCATTGAAGCATGTATCCATCATAAGTGCCGTAGTTTAAATAACTGTTATTGAAAAGCTTACAAACATTTATTTTATCTATTTGTTTTTTAATTTTGTTCTGTCAATCTAAACTAACATGGACTGCACAGAGTATTTTTATTAGTAGTTTTTAAAGTTTGTGTTTTTTTTTTTTTTTCTTCACTGACCTCATGGTAAACCATGATTTGGGAGTGATATTAAACTCCATGTCATGTATCTGTTAAAGTGGAACTACACTGCATCTGAGCACCATAAACCAAAAACTATGTAATTCATTTTTAATATTCAAAGCAAGCTCATACATCCATCCATGTCTCCGTGCTCTAATTTGCTGTGAAATACCTTTAAAAAAAACACCTTAGCATTTCTGTCCATGGCCATCTTGCCTAAGGGCAGATGATTCATGTAGCATTTACTTCCTGTAATGCATCTGCCCTTAGCTTAGGCATGCAGGAAGGAGGGTGTGTTTTGCTAAGAAAACCCCTCCTCTCCTGACATCATTTGCCTAGGCCTGGAAACAAGGAAGTAACTGAAGAAAGTTTAAAACCAGTAAATATGATTTACTTTATTATCTATTTACTAATGCTAGCAGCATAAGGTCTAAAGCGGAGTTCTACTCACACTGTAAAAAAATAAAAGTCAGCAGCTAAAAAAACTGTAACTGCTGACTTTTAAAAAAAAACAGCCACTCACCTGTCCCACGATCCCGCGGTGCCACCACCGCAGCCCATTTCACCGGCTGTCCTGTATTCCAGGCGCCGGCATCTTCAGTGTGGGCACCCGGCTGTGACAGCTTGCGGCTTCACAGCCGAGTGCCCACTGTGCGTGGGTGAGTGGCACTGCTCTTCCTGAATGGCCCCGTCATCTTCTGGGACCTGTCACATGTCCCACAAGACTACGGGGAGGAAGGATAGAAGGACAACTTCCACTTCCGATCGCTTAGGCAATCGCAGCGGAAGTGGGAGCGGGTACCTGTCAATTTTGGGTACCCGCTTCCCACTCCCCAAAGGTGCCAATCCTTAATGGGGAGCGGGGGGCCAATCTTTAAAGCGGAACGTCCCCTTTTGGGTGGAACTCCGCTTTAATATTGATTGGAAGAGTGAAGTTCTGCTTTAAGCTCTCTATGCTCTAAAGATCTGACTCCTTTTGATTATGTTGTTTGAATAATGTGAATTCACAATGATGCTTTGATATGGACCTTACTCTACCAAAGTCTAATCTGCTGCTGCAATGGCAACAAGTTCTTAATATAAGTTTTCTAGATCTTAAATCTGACATGCAAAAAACACTATTATTCTGTTTTAGTGCAAGCTCAGGGTCACAATTATGTGACTTCAGGGTTCTTCATATGCACACCAGTTTATACACCTTTTGCAGATAATGGGAAAATAATACTTGTATATACATTCTATGTTTAGCTTTGATCAGTATTTGTTATAAACCTGATAGGATTATGTTTACACATTTTAACCACAAAAAATGAATAGAAGCAACTATCTGCTGTACGTACGCTCACTATCCTTTAGGAAATTTTACCTTGGAACAGCATTCTCACCATATCCTTGTTGCATGTCATACAGTTACAATTGAAAATGTTCTTATGTTACAGGTAAATCTGGTTTTGGTTGAGTGTAGTATGTTACTAGATAGGATTTTGAAATTGAATAAATTAACTTTCTTTTTCTTTTTTTTAAAGAGGTTGGAAAAGAACCTCGATCAGGGTTTTATTGCTGCTTGTGTTCTGGATGGGAACATTTCCCCTCACTTGCTGTCCTTTTTAATGCTGTTAAATGGAGAGGAATTAGGGGAATATTTTCGGTTGGATCACAAACAATTAAAGCTAACGGAGGTTCCAACCTTTCCAAATTCTATTCAAGACTTAGAAAAATTTGTTTTTGGCTCAGGTTGTACTAAAGGCTGCCATGGATGATTCATGGAGGCTGCCATTGCTATGGAATGCTAAGTGTTATGCTGTTCATTTGACCAAAATACTTTTATCACCAACCTGGAAAAAAACTATGCAGATAAGTACTTCTCCTTTTGTTTATTCTGGGTC